TTCCTTCCTTCCTTCCTTCCTTCCTTCCTTCCTTCCTTCCTTCCTTCCTTTTTGGTTTTTCAAGACAGGGTTTTTCTGTGTAGCTTTGCGCCTTTCCTGGGACTCACTTGGTAGCCCAGGCTGGTCTCGAACTCACAGATATCCTCCTGGCTCTGCCTCTTGAGTGCTGGGATTAAAGGCATGTGCCAACACTACCTGGCCCAAAACTTTTTTCATATAATACATTGTGATTATCTTCTGCCAGATCCTACCCACCTCCTTACCAATACTTTATGTTCTTTCTGTTTCTCTGTCAGTCGTGTGTGTGTGGTGTGTGTGTGTGTGTGTGTGTGTGTGTGTGTGTGTGAGAGAGAGAGAGAGAGAGAGAGAGAGAAACCACAAAAATGAAAATCAAAACAATGACCTAAAAATCAATAAGACCAAAAAATGCCCAAGCAAAACCAAGTGAAAGACAAAGCCCACAAAAGAAAAAAAAAAACTGGGATTTATTTTGTGTTGACCAAGTATTCCTGGGCATGGGTCTTGCTCTGGGATATGACTGATTTACCCAGTGACATTCTGAGAGAGAGAGAGAGAGAGAGAGAGAGAGAGAGAGAGAGAGAGAGAGAGAGAGAGAGAGAGTTGATTTTCCCCTTTGCTATAAGGTATCAATTGCAAAAAGCTTCTTAGTTAGAAATGGAAGTCCATGACCATTTTCAACTCTGAGTGCTGGGACCTGTGTGGGTCTTACGTGTGTTGCCACAGTCTCTGTGAGTTCATATATTCCTCAGTCTTATTGTGTCTGGAAGATACTGGGATGTCATCCATTCCTTCTGGCTTTTACAATCTTTCTGCCTCCTCTTTGTGTTGTTTTTAGAATACTTCCTAATGATCATCTAAATTTCAGTGATATCTCTAGTAACATTACTTTTATCTCTAATTTACTTATTTTGGTCAGTTGCACTGTAGCACAAATGTACTCTCAATGAATATTGAGTCCTGAAGCAGTGGAACCACTGATGATCTTCTTAAAATAATTTCAGTGATTACATGATTTCCTCTCATAAATTTTGTTGTGGTCCTTCAATGCTGCCATTCATTTGCGATGTCTCATCTCTCTTTGTAGGAAATGGAAGACTTTGTTCAGAGCTCTGGAGAACACGGTATTGTGGTGTTTTCTCTGGGTTCAATGGTTAGAAATTTAACAGATGAAAAGGCCAATATAGTTGCATCTGCTCTTGCCCAGATTCCACAAAAGGTGAGATAAAATGTCCACTAGGTGGACAATTGTATTATACGTTTACTGAACTCTGAAAGGATTTAAATAGAGAAAATTCCTGTGTGAAAAGCTAAATGAAGGTCTCTTTCCTATTAATCTCTAACACCATTTTAAAAAGAAAATTTTAAATTGTTCAGGGTGAAATATTAGTCTGCTTCTGACTGACCTCATGATCTGAAAGATTATAATTACATCCATGCATGGTTGTGCACAGCTGCCATCCTGGCTCTTAGAGACCAGAGTGGGTCTTTTGTTTCTCACATTTAAATACAGTTTATAATTTGTAGTGATTCCCAAGCTTTTCACATCTCAAAGAAGTGAGTAGAAAGAGAAAGAAAGGATGGGGAGAGAAAGAGGAAATAAAATAGTAAGGAATATACTGGAGCTGGTGTGATGACTCAGTGGCTAAGAGCATTGGCTGCTCTTCCAGAGAGCCTGGGTTTTATTGCTAATACACACACACACACACACACACACACACACACACACACACACACACACACACACTAACTAGCTCACAACTGTCCCCAACTCAAGTTCTAGGAGAGCTAATACATTGTTCAGGCCTCCAGGTGGCATACTCGTAATGCACAGAATTACATGAGGGCAAGACACCCATATACATAAAATGAAACACAAATGTTTGTAAAGAAAAGGGGGAGGTGTCTTCCTCCCAATGGCTGATGTAGGAAAATATAAGAGAAAGGATGATGAAAACAGGTCCTGACCCTGAAGTGAGCCCAGGATGATAAGGTTATGATTGCATCTGCAGGAACTCTGCTTCTAGCACATGAAGTGAACATCTTTTCATGGTTGGTGAAAAAGCATGGAATTTAAGATGGAGTCAGGTTTAGGTCAGTATGCCATAGGAAGATTCTAGAAGCTCCTGACTCCAAATTTTTTGTATAGTTGACTCACTTTCTGAAAGCATCACTCTTTGGCTGTTTGGGGACTGAATTTACTCTAGTACTTGATAACAGTTTCTCCTGTCCATGAAGATATTTTTTTATGTAAACTTATTTTATGAAACACAGAGCATATAGAAAGTAAAAATGAACAGTTTGTATTCGTTTGTGAGGATTGCTTGTATTTCAGAACTCAGTTTGGCACTAAACATGAATTGTATTTAGAGCAATAGAAACCATGCTTAAAAGTTTCCTATTGACATTTTCCCCTTGGGCAGGCCTTAAAGTTTCATCTGAAACAAAGTAAATACACTTTTTAGTAAAAAAGAAATTATTTCTCAGAATAGTAAACTATATCAATATGATTTTTTATGCATCAAAAATAAACCTATTATAATGAGTAGACTAGGGAAGATGGGAATATAGGTAAAATTATGTGCCCATGACTCAAAAAGATATAAATTATATTGAATTTGTAATATAAGAGCTAGAATTTTGTATAATATATACATAATCATAAATTGTTACTAATTATATATAGTATTCCCATTCAGGATTGCATTAACTGCCTAAAATTTTCAGGTGTGCTTGAATTTGTCATTAATCATTAGACCTAAATAAATTAGCATGATGAAATATCATGCTCAAGTTATTATAAAGTTATGTACAGAAAATGTATTATTTATTTCAGTCTTTTAACATCTCATACTATTTTAAAACCTCCTGTCTTAATTTCATTAGCAATCATTTGGATAATGTTCAACTGAATAATCTCCTTGGTTCTCCAGAATCAAAATATCCCAAATCTTTTGAATTTCTGCAACTGAATAAGGTACTTTCTGTATGTAACAGGTTCTGTGGAGATTTGATGGTAAGAAACCAGAGACCTTAGGATCCAATACTCGGCTGTACAAGTGGATTCCTCAGAATGATCTTCTTGGTAAGACAGAGGTCAATAAAGTAAGAAAACAAAGGGAGCAACAGATCTTGAGGACAGTCAAAAACAAAGCAAATTTATTTCTATTTATTTTCATAAATACAAAATGGAAAATAGCTACTTATAAATTCTGTCATCCTATTATTAAAAATCATCTTCTCTATGTCTAAAATCTGCATACCTTCAGTTCAGGTGTAATAACTGCTCTAAGAATTGTTCAGAGACTGTATGAATTGCCCCTTTGTCTCTTGCTTCTTAATTTTTCATTATCATTTATCCTACTACAGGAATTTTTCCAATGCCACTGAGAATCTTAGCCCCTGCTGTTGCACCAACTCTGTAGTTCCTATGCAAACAAGCATACTATCTTTACCACAAAGTACTAATGTATTTCATGACAAATTGCAGCTTGATTGGCCTTAGATTCCACCATCTACTATCCTGGTGACTATAAACTACACACCAGACCCAGTGCCACAACCATTTCTATATAAATAGTCTACTTGCCTTCTGTGTTTTAATGTGGTATTTTAATAAATAAATTTCACACAATATATTTTAGTCAAATTAAACCATCAACTCCATTTATCTTAACTCTTCTCATATCTACCCTCTTCCTTCCCACCCACTCCCTTTTTTTCTCTTTCTCATTGGTTATTATTATTGCATCTGTACATACATATGGATATACAAACACAATCTGCTAAGTCCATCTAGTATTCCTGCTAGGTTTCTGAACTCACCATTGGTATTGGATAATAAATTTGAATTCATCCCTGGGGAAAACTGATTCTCAGCAGTCATTACATGTCTGTGCCTCTTCGCCTGGGGACAAGGCACTGTAACATTTTCTGCCTTTACGTTGGCACGTCAACTGGTATATTCATTGTACTGATCTTGTTTAGGCCACCATAAAGTCAAGATTCAGTGACTGCAGTCTCCCTATGCTGTATGAAGACACAATCTCAAAGCAGATTTCCTTGTCCTATGATTCTTACCTTATTTCCACCCCCTCTTCTGAAATGTTTCTTGAGCCATATATATAGGGGGTTTGTGTTATAGATGTATCATTTGGAGCTTCATACCCAAGGTCAGTTGTTCTCTGCATTTTGACAACTTTGGCTTTCTGTAATGGTCTCTGTGTGCTGCAAAAATAAGATACTTTGATGGGGGATGAAAACTACACATACATGTGGGTATAAGGTAAGGATTTCAAATCCAATGAGAAATGACATTGGTTTAGAAAAGTGACAGTTGTGGGTTCTTCTCTATGTTCACAGCCTCAGGGGAAATTCACAACTGGTACTATAAACCTAACCATGTGGATTCTTTTCCAATGGATCTTTTACCCACAATCTTCCTTTCATTTTCATATGTGGCAACCTTGTTTTCATTTTGCAGTTCTCGAGACACATACTACTTCTTCCAAATACTCTTCTCCTACCTCTCCAGCTCACTTAAGAGCTTCTTGATATAAACTTACAAAGCAGTTTCACTGCATATTTGTGGCTATACAACGTTTTCTATGAAAACAGCCCCTTTGGAACCCTTATATTTCACTTCTTTTTAATATTTTAATCAATGATTATGTAAAAATAATTCTAATTGTAGGTCATCCAAAAACCAAAGCTTTTATAGCTCATGGTGGAACCAATGGCATCTATGAAGCAATCTATCATGGCATTCCTATTGTTGGTATTCCATTGTTTGCGGATCAACCTGATAATATTAATCACATGGTAGCCAAGGGAGCAGCTGTTAGAGTGGACTTAGACACACTGTCAACTACAGACCTTCTCACTGCCTTGAGGACCATCATTAATGACCCTTCGTGAGTATAACTATTTTTTGTTTGAGTTTATTTTTCTTTTTTGAAACAGGGTCTCACTGTATAATCCCATGACTGACCCTGAACTCATAGAGATATGTGCTGGGATTAAAAATTGGTCATATCATGCTTGATGTATGCAACTACCTCTTTAAAAATATTGATAGAAAGATTATTATCATCATCATATTGATTTTAATCCCATTTGAAGGAGAATAACAGTGAAAAAATTATTTTGCATATCTGAAATATGTACTTGTTTTCAATAATAAAGTTACTCTAAATTCATATTTGCCTTCACATGAGAAATGATTAGTCTGAAAATTCTCTTTATATATGTAAATAATGTTTCAAATATACATCTACTGGTAGCAAGGACATTAAAATATAACAGAATATACATAATGAAGTATTCATGAACTTTAAAATTTATGAAAGAATGTTTAAATATTTATCAATATTTTCTGAAACTATAAAACTTTTGGTGAAAATTTATATTATTTCTATCATTTTTTAAACAGGGTCTCATTTTGTAGTATTGAGCTGGCCTCAAATTCAGAAAGATCCTTTGACTCTGCTTCCCAAGTGCTCAGATAAAAGGCATGTTCTACCAACCCTGCAATAGAAGCTGTAGTGACTAGCTTTGAGAAAATGTGTTCTAGATTCAATTTTATGACATCTCAAAAGCCCTTAGAATAGTTTAGGTCATAAAATTAATATTAAGTCTCACTGAACTCATAGCCAACATCTAAGACTTCTAAGCCAGTGATGTCAACAAAAGAACCCATGTTAGTTGAAATTTATGTTAAGGCCTGGACAATGAGATAAAAACAAGCACACTGAAATGAGAGACAATATTAACTTCATAACATACCCAGGGAACATCATTAGTAGCTTCAAGGTTTACCAGAAAAATGATGTACCTAATCAGAAAATCCATAGGCAAAACAACAAGGGAAAATGATGTTGGTTCTTATAGACACAGTCTCCATGTCCAGGTACAGAATTGGATTTTAGTTTCATTTTGTTGAGAATTCTGGTGGAAGTACTGAGTAAGAAAGAATTATACTTCAAAAAGTGTTTTCAAACATGAATCTAGTTGGAGATTGAAATTACAAAACAGAGGAAGTAGAGGAGAAACTGCAACTGGAGAGGAGATAACCAACAGGACACCTTACCCTGTGATGCTTAAGACAATTCTATGTCTACCTCACTTATTTGTCTTATATCATATGTTACATGGTCCTCACATGAAAAAGATTTAGTTCTCATTATTGATGATCTCTTGCCAATTTGAAAATATAGCTGAACTTCAAAAATTCCAATTAAGAATTAATATTTTATGGGAAAAAAGCAAGAACAGAGCCAGCACTTGTAACTGAGGTGCCAGTGGATGCTGGTAATCTCATCAGTTGGAAAGAGGATAGAGAGGTTCATTAGATATTTTTAATGCCAGTGTAACCTACACGACAAGTTCAGAACAAACTTGTGCTACACGAGGCTGTCTCAACTCTCCTCCTTTTCACTCAACTCTTCTCCCTGCCACTAAACTGTCCATCCTGTCCCTCAACTGTCCTGCATGTCACCTGATAAAACATAGCAAATCTATTTGGTTAATTTTGAGTCACTTTGGGGGCTTTATCTCAAACCAACAAATGTTAGGTAGCTCTGAAAATTAGTTTTATTTTAATTTTTGTTGTACACATTGTCCCTTCAGGTATAAAGAGAATGCCATGCGGCTATCAAGAATCCAACATGATCAACCAATGAAGCCCCTGGACAGAGCTATCTTCTGGATTGAGTACGTCATACGCAACAAAGGAGCCAAGCACCTTCGTGTGGCAGCACATGACCTCACCTGGTTCCAGTACCACTCTCTGGATGTGCTTGGATTCCTGCTGGCCTGTGTGGTGACTGTGATGCTCATCATCATGAAGTGTTGCCTCTTTTGTTGCCGGAAGTTTTCTAAAGCTGGAAAGAAGAAGAAAAGGGAGTAGCTGAAGTGGGGAGGACTGCTAACATGGGTAAAAAGAAGAGAAAAGAGTAGCTGCATTGAAGCCTCAAGAGTCCTGAGAGATGAGCATCTCACAGCTGCTCCCAGCAAGAAGAGGTTGAGATGCCATATCTTTCCCTCTAAGATAAGACAGTTTTTTGTCTTCAGTAAAGAAGGCTTTCATGTATTTCATGTTTAAGGTGTACAAGATTTCATGACAAATAGGCATTCAGTGCTATAAAACAAAAATCACATGTTCACTTTAGAGTGTTTTGATGTAATTGAGGAGCTATCCCCAACAACAATCACTGAGATTAACTGTGATTCACAAAAGTCACATGGGCATAACATCTTTGAAAATACCTCTCTAAATGTCAGTTACCTTTGCAAATATCCAGCCTGTTCTGACTTCATCTGTGGGACTCTTTTCTTTCTTGTTTTTACTACTCATAAATAATAGTGTTCAGGAGCCAGACTTCTGAAGTAGACTTGCTTTTCTCTTTGTATAAGGAAAGCCATTTTTCTGGTTATTTTCCTGTACACACACCACACATCCTTTATTTATTAAAGGAGCTGTGATGAAGGTTCCTCCTCGAATCAGAGACATTTCTCCATGGCATTCAAACAATTATTTCTACCTGCTTGTGTTAAATTCCATTACTTGGGAGGTTCTACAACTTGACAGGATTATTCATTCACTCTCTATCTTATCCCTTAGTCACAACTGACCTGGACACTATCTCTCTTATTTCAACCTTTTGAAGTAGACATGAGCTGTTAAAAGTTCCATTCCTCTTACTTATAAAGTACACAGGGTTAGGTACAAGAATCCAAGTCTCTGGATAAATGCAAGACAAAAGAAAATGGTATCAAGCACATGATGTGGATCCATATGTTATAGATAAAAAAATGTGTTGTGCAGTGCAGAATCACAAAAAGATTTACCCCATTGCCACCCTAATCACTGCAATAAAATATCCACACATTCTGAAATGGACTCCTGAAATAGTGAGTATTGAATTTCAGAATGTACAAGAGGACTTCTGTTCAAATGTAAGCTGAGCCTCACTGCAGCCCCAGGTGAAACTAACAAGATTTTATCAACAAGAAGGAAATCCTGAATGAGAAGCACACACACCAAAACTAGAAACCATCTTACCACCAGTGCAGAGCTGAGCCCTTCCACCACAAACAGTTCAAAGCTCAGAGTTCAGAAGCAACAGAAACCCTAGTTAGTGAAGATGAAGTGAGCCCTGGACAGCTGTCACACCCTAAAGTATACTGACTCCAAAAGGTTGGGAAATGAATTATGATCAGGTTACCCAGGGAAGGAAGCATCAGTCATGGACAAGGACAGAAAGGAAGAATAACTGCAATAGTTTAAAGTGTCCAACAAAAGAAGGGATGAGAAAGCTGGTTAATAAAGAGCCCTTGCTCCTTCTCAACCCAGGAGAGAATGTGACCCCTGTGTCTTAACCCAAGGGCAATACAAACAAGCTGATGCTAGAAATACATGAAATAAGGAAGAGAGCTGAAGCTGACCAAGAATGTTTTTTCAATTGAGAAACAGGCTATGTCAATGTGCTCAGGTTACTGGATCTAGCCATAAAGGCAACACTGGCCAAAAGAAAACTTTGCTTACAACGGTTAAGAGAACACTGTTCAAAGGGAGGAACATATCTGATAACATGCAGAGAGTCCAGCCTTCTGCAGGTCAGAGACTGGGAACAAGATGCAGAGTCAGCAAGAAAAACATACACACTTCTTTTCTGAGGGATAAAAGCTTTTATATTATTTGACTATTCTTTTTTTTTTTTTTTGCTTGTTCTACTCTATTCTTGTTTTTGTTCTGTTCTTCTACTCTGATATTCCCCATTCTCTTCTGATGACTTCCTTCCATCTACTTCTTCCTGATGTCTTCCTTCTACATCTTTACTCCTACCTATATCTTTTCTGGTTTTTTCCTTCCATGTATCTTTATTTTTTCCATTACAGCTTATATACCCCAGCAGAATCTTTCAAGCAATATAAGAATGACAATGTGGTTACATTCTATTTTTATGTGAATGATTACAGTGAATACAAGTAAAATAGCATATTTTCTATATATCTTAAATGTTTAATCATTTTATACATTACAAGTGGAAAACAAATTATCCCCAAGAACCCACATATACTTAAACATTTATCTTTTAGACTTCTCATAGATCAGGAGTCTTTCAGCTATAACTGCTTACATAGGCACTAGTCTTTATAATTGGCAGAAAAACAGATTACTAATTTCACTTTTCATATTTCAGAGTCCACTCTAATTATCTTAACTAACTATGCAATTCTTTGTTTTCTAGTTACAGAATTCATTATTTAGAACTTTGTTTTAGCTATGATGCACACCAAAATCCATGACCTTATTTCCCACTATCAAAAAGAGCTAACTTATGGGACGGGATTGTTCTCCTTATTCATTAACTTAAGCCACTGTCTGTATGGCTCCTCCAGAGAAACTCGTAAATCCTAGCTGTGTGACATTTCCTTGTTCTTATTTTCTATCCTCTATAGCCCTGCTTTATCAGGGGAGAGACAACACTGTACCCTATCTTTACCTATATTAATTTTCCCTATCATAATCCCTTACTATATTTGTTAGAAACCCGTAATAATTAAAATTATGTTTAAACTAACACCATTATTGCATATTATATAATAACATATTATTATTTCAGTTAAACAGTACAGCTTAAAATGAAATCATCTGCATCATAATCTACAGGTGAAAATGCCCAGTAGAACAGGATATATCCATGAGATAATCACACTACACTAAAGGCAGTAAGGATCCCCATGTGTCCATTCATGTACCAATAACAGAAAAAAATGGCAGCAGCAAACATGTAAAGGCACAGCAGTAACTAAAGACATTCTGAAGGCAAAGCCATATCTGAGATTGACCCATCAGTGCCCTGCTTCCTGGTGGGCTGAAATTCCAGAATTCAAGTGCCACTGGCTGCTCTTCTGACATGGCCATGAGCAATAACAAAAGCGGGCTCTGACTCCTGCCAATATTTGGATTCAAAACAATCCTAAGTAGAAACCAAAATTCACCTTAGATGAGATCAAGTGGGTTCAGGGTGATGTGCCCATTCCAAGGTTCATTTTAAACACCCTCTTTCTGCCCTGGTTAGCAGTTAATTCCAGTCTCTGCATATCTAGAATTAAAAGGCATATTGCCCCATTAATTTCCATACTTTGTTTTTATTTTATAGAAATTGCTTTGTAATGGGAAGCTAATCCCTCTCCAAGCCTACTTCCTCAGAATTACATTTTAGGTTCCTATTTTAAAATCATATTTATTTAATAAGGATAATAATTTAATAGGATAGCATCAGGATGCTGGGCAGGCCAGGGTATTATCTGCTGTTGACCAGGATTCTAAGAAGTGGGTCTGAATGCTAACATTCCTCCCCTTTTGATTATTATAAAAAGGTGAGTTATAGATAGAAAGTGGGGGGAGTAAGGGCACTGAGTTCTTAAGACTGCTTCCTGCTGACAAGCGGGGAAGGGGAACTTGGAGGTTGATGTCATGCCTGATGGTAGGTGAGTAAAGAAGCTCTTAGTTAGCTGTCACAGTGGAGTCCTTAGGCATCTGTTCCTTGAGGGAGTTGAGAAGGCAGATTGCTAGCAGAAAAAATAGCATTGGTCCTCTGAATGGGGCTAGCCATGGGAAGAGTGATAACTGCCAGAAAGCATGGAACAGAGAAGTGCCCTGGTTGTACAGAAGAGGCAAGTGTGAGTGAGACACTAGAACAGATATGTTCTTTATTGGGACATCTTGGAAAACTAGGTTCCAGTTGCTGGGTTGGTGCCCACTTGAGCCTGGAGAGGGGGGTACCAGCAGTGAATTGAGGGATGATGTGTTTTTCATGAGTACTTGAGCCATCCCATCTGCTGTTTCTCTGGAGGTGGGAAATGCCTTTATCCATCCTGGGAAAGTGTCAGCAATTCAGGAGATAACAGAGTTTTTATGAGTGGGCATGTGGGTGACGTTAAACTGCCAGTATTTGCCTGGTTGGTGTCCTCAGTTGCTACAGTGGCTGGTGGTGTATCTGGAGGGTCTCTGAGGGTCTGGCCTTGGCACAAGTCTTGAAGGAAGGGTCAATCTGTGCAGGGACCTATAAGTGTTTGTAAAATAATAGGAACAGATTTACATCTTAGTGTCACAGCAAAAGCTATGGCTTTGGGTTAAAAAGCATGAACATATCTTTAAATCTATAACCAGAGGAAACTGACTAAATGGAAGTGGTTGAGTGAGTGAAGGAGGAGGGCAGATCCCTACCCTCTCCAATACTAACCTGTCTCCTAAAAGCTGGTAACTGTAAAATTCACAGAAATTTAAGGACTCCCAAAACTGTCTGTAGTCAGTGATCTATCAGTTTATCAAAACTGCATTTATCAATGTTAAACGTTTGAACCTCTGAAGTTACATCTGAAACCAGTTTTATCCTGTCTAATGGAGTCTGTGAATGAGGCACACCTGCCTGTACTTTTGGCAGGAAACTTACTAATGAGCTACCAAGGGTTGGGGGAGATGTAGTGGGTAGCCATTTCAGCTTTAATCTGGAAGTTCCAACCCCCATTGAGGCTTCAGCAACTGTCATGCCTACAAAGTGGGGTCAAGGGAGGACCCGGGAGACCCGAGATTGGGATGGGCCAGCTCTCTCTCTGTTCCTGGACCCTTGGTGGTGGAGACTGACTGAGCAGAGCTCCAGAGAACAATGCTGGACTGCGATACACCTTCCCCAGACCCTGCAACCTACCTATCCCTTCATTTGTAAGTTACCCACTAATTAAATCTTCCTTTTAACTTAATAATTTCACCAATAGGGAGAGATGTAAAATTGGCAAATCCTGGTCATCAAACACCATTGGATCTGAGAAGGATAAGTAAGTGAACAGAACTGAGACAGCTTTCTAGCTATGTAGGCCGTCCTAGGTTTCTCTTAAATGGGAAGGAGGGGGGTCCCATCCACCCCTGTGACAGGAATTGACAAGGGAACTGTAGGACCCAAGGAAGAGGTTAGAACAGAATAGGTAGCTCCTGAGTCCAGTAGAGGGTCAATGGACTTAACTGCTACCTGCAGTGCCACCACAGGCTTGGAAAGGGAATGGGAGTCACTAAGTCTAGATGCCATCCCATCAGTCTTCCACCAGGCTTAGAAGTTCAAAGGCTGGGAGAGTCAGATGCCAATGTTGCTGAGGCTGGACTTCCATGGCATGGCATAGAGGATGAGCCTGCATGGGGCATTCGGATCTCCAGTGTCCAGGCTGTCAGTAGACAGGGCATGGCCTTGTGGGTGGCTGAGGGTCAAGGTGATACTGTGACCAGTGGCCCCAGGCTGCATGTGACACAGACTCCTGGTGGATTTGACTTGGGCTGAGCTCCAGCAGGATGGAGCCTCATGGTCAGCTTCCCTTGTCTCCTGTGTGTGGGGGCTGGGGGGGTCTAGTGGCCTCAGGGCAGCTGCCAAGGCATGGGCTTGGAGTGTAGCTTTCTGTTGCAGCTGTGCCCATTGGGAAGACTCAGCTGTCTCTTTTTGGGCATTAAAAAAAAGCCAATTTTGCCAATTCCTGTATGGGAATTGGGTACCCTCCTCAGGCCCTTTAAAGCTTACAGAAGCATCTGATTTGACCCACCTGGAAGCAAGGAGCATTTATATTGGCTGGGTTGGTCCATATCAGCTTTTAGTAAGTCCATGGCTTACAGGTTGAAGTCAGCTAGACTCATACCTTTGAGTCCTACAGATTTGGGTTAAAAATATGTACTTTTTTTTTTTTTGTTTAGAGAGTCAGGTACAGATTCGACAGAGATGTCTTTGGCCTGATGAAAAGTTTAAGTTTATATTTAGAAGACAACCAAAAAAAAAAAAAACAAAAAAAACAAAAAAACAAAAACAAAAGTCTAGAATCTTGAGCTTGTGACACAAACAGTATCAGAATTTT